TTCTGCATTTTGTTTTGGTTGTGTGATATTGGCAATATCCTGATACAGATATATATAAAATTACATAGTATGAATGTGTAGCCTCTCAGACATGTTGAACCATTCTGTTTCCACTACTGAAAACTGGAATAGTTGGATTTGGATCTTCAAAGCTTAATCAATTAGAATAACTAAAATGGCTCATATTCCTTGAGAGGTTCTCATTCTTGGTTTAAGAAAACTTTTCAAAGGTGTCTTTTTAACAGAGTTTTTCACCTTTGACAAAACAGACTCATGACATAATGATACTGTATTGTTGAACTGGATTAAATAGCAAAGCTTCAATTAGTCAAATTTATTTTATTCTGCATACATACCTGAAATGCTCCAATTTCATTGCTGCCTCCTTATACACAGTCGTGAGCATGTTTAAAATCTTCTCTGATAAAAGTGTGCTTGATACACAAGCCAATACAAAATTATTATTAATATTTGGGGGAGCAAGTTAACTGATGTAAATTCTTTAGGAAAAATACATCTAATGGTGGTCTGCATTCTCATTTAGGTATTGCCATGTTATTTTCATGTCCTCTGATTCCCATGTGTTGTTTCATGCTTGTGCCAATGCAAAGTGTCTGAATTTGCTGGTCTTTTATTTGCAGGTGGTCCCTATGTTCTGTGGCGGCAATGTGCCCATTTGCACAATATTCTTCATGAAATATGCAAAGATATATTTTTAAATGTCCATTTCAGATCGACAAATTTCCAGTTGATGCCACAGTTATTTATTACTTTATAGGTGTATACATATATATGTGTGTGCGTGTGTATGGGGGTATGTAGAACTATCTATTTATGCATCTACCTATATAGAGACAAAAAAGAGGAGCAGGAAGTAGAGGAGGAGAAGTTGTTTTTGTCCGATAACACAAGTTAATGATTTGAGAACTGTTAATATGACAAATATATTTTTACTATGGAGTTTTTTTATTGTACCCAAATGTGGCAATGTATTTTTTTTTTTACAGTTATTACAGAACTGCTGAAGAATCGCAGTTATAACTCAATGGAACACAGTTTGAAAAATAACGTTTTAGCTGAAGGCCTTTATATCTTTTAAAATGCAAATACCTCTACTTTCATCTGCCATCAGTCACTCATACATTAGTGTGAATGAATTTATTAGACATCTTTTTGAGTTTAATTCAGAAGAGGGGGAGAAAAAGATGATCTCAGCTACTGACAGACGTGGGAAAGATCGAATACTAAGGCTAGGAGAACTGAAGACTAATTTGGCCTAATTTACAGGTTTGCTTCAAGACTATGCCATCTATATATAATACATTTATTTATATTTATAAACAGACATGCACACAAAGAAAATGTCTACTGCCTTAGATGAGTGTGAGTGTGAATATGTTTCAGAATTGCATCCAACTATTTTAGAATATATATTTGTAGAATATATATTTGTAATAAGGCAATCAAATGAATTACTTATAATTTTGTCCAACTCTAAAGTAAGTCAACAGTAAAATTTCCAACCAATGGATTTATTGAAGATATTCTGATTTTATTACATGAGTGTCTTCAAATATTGTAAGCAAATGAATTATGCAGAAGCCCCAGATTATAGACAGCTTCTTATAAATAAGGACCTAATGTTCCCAACTTGATCTCATATCTTTGGACTATGACATTTCTTTAAATTAAAATAAAAGAGTAAACTTAAAAAAACTTAAATCCCTTTTGTTAAATAAAATAATTCACTTTTTAAATTTGAATTTAGTTATATGTTTCCCCCATTCTGTCCCCCCCAAAAGAAACTATCTGAAGTTTATGAAAGCAAGTATCCATTTCAATAGTGTAAACATTGAGTTGAAACTTCTGATAATTTTTTACAGAGGCATATGAGAAACAATATTAGTAAATATTTTAAGAAAGTGCTTTCTCAACAAGAAGAAAATTACATATTTTTCATTTCTTATATATTTTCTAACAATGTAAGTTATTAATGATTATAGGTTAAAAATGTGTTGGACTAGAGCCATATTGACCATATTCATTCTAAAGTCAGTGCTAATAATAAGTTTTTATAAGTTTTTGAAAGTATATTTAAATTCATAATACTGATTGATCCTCAAATTTAATACTATTGCTGATTTGTGTGTGTGTGTGTGTGAGAGAGAGAGAGAGAGAGAGAGAGAGAGAGACAGAGAGAGAGAGAGACAGAGAGATAGAGAGAGAGAAAGACAGAGAGAGAGAGACAGAGTCCTTGATCTGTCACCCAGGCTGAAGTGTAGTGGCGTAACCATAGCTCACTGTGGTCTTGAACTCTAAAGGTCAAGGGATTGTCCCTCCTCAGCCTTCTGAGTAGTTAGTCTATAGGCCTGTGCCATCACGCCAGGGGCTATTCCCACTCCTTCCTTTCCCAGTATGTTGCCTAGGCTGGGCTTCAACTCCCAGCCTCAAGTGATCCTTCCACCTTGGCCTTTGAAAGTATGGGAAATGCGTGTGTAAGCCACCATACCTGACCTATCGCTGTTTTGATGTCAAGAAATTGAAACCAAAATCAAGTGATAGAAATATTGCTATTTAGGAAAGAGATAAATGTAACTACCTCAGTAGTAAATTCTGTTTTTGGCTATTAAGTATAACATTGAAAAATTAGCAGAATAAATATGAAATCAAAACTTGGAAGCATTTTGAGATACTTTTGGTATTCCGTTGCAAAATATCTCAAAGTGAAAAAAACACTTACCAGAATTACTAAAAAGACTAATGCATACCAATTTTTAAAAATCTATTCAGCTCAAAAGGTCAATCTTGGTTCTGAGATTATACTTACCCTGAAATAATACTAAACCAAAGCTATAAGTTAGTTTCTTAAGTCAGGGAACCAAAATTGACATGCTTCTGTTTTTGCTCAAATAATGACCTTTGAAACCTCTCTGATCTCCCTTGTTTTTCCATTTTTTTCCCATCTGTGTACTAAGAAAAATGTATTTCTGAGTCACAAGGCCTGTATATTCCCACTTCCTCCTTTCCCAGTATTTATGGAAAATTGCTTCTCATAGTTCCATGGTAGAAGGCAAGTAGACAGAAAGGGAAGAGAGAGCTTTTCCAATAGTTATGGGTACTGAAAGCCTACGACAATATTTGAGTCTGATTTGTCTGTAGTTTATTCAAAATGTGTGTGCCTAAAAAAAAATCGGACAAGGGAGGGTGAGTGAGCCCAGGCTAATGACAGGTATGCGGCAGCTCCAGAGAGAGCACACAGACATGTGTCTGGATGGAGCACGGTCACCTGTCTAACAAACGTTCGGCAACTCAGCAGATGAGTACAGTTGGCAGCAGAGCTATTGAGAATCAGTTTGTTTAAATAGTGAGAGTAAGTAGATGCAAATGACATACCAAGTATTGGGATGTGGTGACCAAACAGAAAACTTAACCTGAAAATTATTTTGTATATAATATTTAGTAAAAATATTCGTAAGGAAGGAAGCAAGGAGTCCACAGGTAGTACCTAATAATACAGTCATACAATTAAAAAAGAGATTTTTAAGCGTGGTCTAAGTATGTTCCGTAAGCTAATTCCAATTCTTAGAATTTTTCACTACCCTTTTTGGAAATCTATTAATTTTACATTTAAATTTATATTTAAATACAAATATAAATTAATGTCAATAACTTCTAGAAACTAGTAATTATGTATATTTTTCCTCCTCTAATTCATATAACACAAATTTCTCACTTTTTCTATATATTTCTCCTTTAAAATACTATTTTCCTCCATATTTTCATATAGTTGTATTATATCTGAATACATAATTTTTTCATTGATTTGTTATAAACTTGCTTGTACTAACACAGTTCTCCAAGAGTACTTATACATTTTAAGGGCATCAAAACCACCTGTCATTGGCAGGTTGTGATAAGCATTTCTTTTAAGAGGATACCTAACGCTTTCTCCATCAATCTTTTTCACATTCATGGTACCAAATTTTATATAACCGAAGTCGCTGCCTGTTACCAAGACTTGAACTAGGTACTCAAAGACACCGAAACATAAAGCTATTGCCCACCGCCATAAAGCCCACCAATCATCTTCTCGCTCTATTCTATTTCATTTTTTAGTAATTTATTTATATTAGTCCATGAATGCTGAAATCTCTTCATATTTTGTCCTTGCTACACTGAGCTGAGACAACATGTTTTGATTTCTCAGTGTTATCAATAGTATTAGGTAAATTCTAGAAGGTAAAAATTATATTATAGAATTATATACATAAATTATTGGGACATGATTAGTTATCAGAATATCACATTAATATCTTGGTTTATAAAATCTATAGGAATTAGATATCATGTTCCAATGATAACTATATTACAATAGAGTTGAAAATTCTGAACCATAGTTAGTCTAGTCTATTTTCTTAGGTCTTTGCTCTCCGTTTCCCAGGTTTCCTACTCATTACTAACTTTCTGGAAAATCTTAGCAGACGACCAAAATTTATCAAGGGATATTTAAATATTCTGTTATATATGGTACTTAGAATAACAGCTATGTAAAATAGCTTCAATCTCATAGCCTGACCAAAGCATGAAAAGAACAAAATCTCTTATTACAATGCCACCTTAGAAAAGCCTTAGCTAGGTCCTTATTCTAGCAACTCAAATGTCCTATTCAAGGCCATCACATTTCAGAAGAGCTTAATATACAATATCTTCCATTTTATTTTCCACTAAATACCCCAAATGTATTTTATTTTCTGTGGGAAGAGCTATATACAAAGAAGAAGAATAAAGAAAAAAAAAACCATGAAAAATGTAGCCAGTTTATAACTGAGTTAGAATCTATAGTGATGTAAGTTAATCACACAGGGGTATCTTATAATATGAAAAATACCACTGTATAAATATATACATTATTATAGTGCAATGGAAAACTCTTTAATTTTAAAGAAGCATTTGAAAGCAGGTTAACAAGCAATTTAACAACTAATTGTTATAAAACTGACCTTGACTTGCAAACTTCAACTCTTTGGCATCTGTGAGGGTGGTCCTTTTGTCAGACCCTTTTTTCTCTATTCGTCGATGGCTTCGTCTTTTCTTAGACTCTCCCCAAAGATTGGATCCTCCATGCATGCTTGGTATATTCAAAATAGCAATTCCTTCCAGAGAGATGTTTATTAAATCTATCTGCACTCCATCACACTGATCAGTAAAAAGAAAGAAACAGAAACAGTAAAATATTTTATCTTCACTTCCGTGATTTCTTTTTCATTTCCTCATCTTTTAATAAGAGCACTGAAATCCATAATGTTGTCATTTCCAAACAAGCCTTTCGAGAACACTTAAATGCTTATCTGGACTCAATGGAAGAGATAAAACAGCCCCTAACATGAAATCACCAGTATATCTTTGTTTGTAGAAAGAGACATGTTAATGTCTGCATACATATTTAACCAGCTGCAAATTTCCAATGTGTTACAAAAAGCTTAATTCCGGAAACTATGGTCAAATTTTTGGAAGAAATGATGGTTGCCCCTATTTAGAACACACTGCAAAGTACAATTGGGGGAAAGTCAAGAAACAGAATTGATGCCTCATGGCCTCACACTTTTGGGGCAGAGAAAGAAGTAGCTTAAAACGCTTTTGTTAAAAAATAAATAAACAAAATTCAAAAAAGCAATTCTAAGAAATTTCATTCACACTGATTTTACCAAGGATGGGTTTCCTGGACTAGATGAAGTCCCAAGCAGATATCAAAGGCCCTAAGAGGCACAGCTGTCCAAATGAATGTGGAGGAACAGGCAGATTGAGTGAGCCAAAGAGGGGTAACAGTTAAAAGTCACTTCAATCCAGCATGATTTTATAGCTGCTGCAAACATGGGTTAAAAAGAAGAAGGTTAATCAGCCCAATTTTCCTTGTTTTCCCGCTGACAGAACACCCTAGTGATTATGAAAAATATAAAATTCACTAACAGACAACATTATGTTATGTTCAGAGAGGTCATTTCTTAGTTTCTGAAATTTTCTCTTCATCTCCACTGATGAACACATGTGAACAGTGATAAGACTATTCTGTATTTTTAAAATTACCATTTATTCGTTTGCCTTAACTTCTCTAAAATGCTAGTTATTACGCATTCCGGAAATTATTATCCCATTTCAATTATAAGTTAACATGAAAAGAGATATAAGCACTTTGGTTTTTAAAGAATTTTGTGAGGGATATACGTTTCCTAGACTGAAATATATCTACAGCGTTGCCGTTTCATTTGCCATGTCTTATTACAGAAAAATCACTGATACTAACTTCATCATTTCTCATGGCAGTCACGATTTTTGAACTCAGAAGACACAGTGTTCCATGAAAATGATGAAAAACAAACAAAACAAAACAAAACAAAAAGCTCTCTTTTTCCACATTCGCCTCATCATACTGAAGCTAGAATTGCATCTTGTTCACCAAAAAATAAAAACTGTGAAATAAAGAAACACATCTTGAGACTACTTGGCAGGGGTAGAAACAAATTCTAGAGAAAGTGCCAAGTTTTCATTTAATTTGTTTCAATGAGGGCGAAACCAAGAGCTAGATGATGCCTTTTTAAAACATTTTTCCCAGAAAGCAGTGCTTTTTTCCTGCTTTTCTTGTGCTAAATTAAGATGATTTCTTTTTACTAAAGAATTCTGGTCATGTGTATACTCACTTACCGCTATATATTCTAGATAAACAGATATTAATTTCATAATTAAAAGTAATCTTGTGTAAATACCCTGCAGGCCTCAATGAATCAAACACATACTGTGTGTCAGGCCTCCCACTGTCTTCAAGTGGAATGTACTGGCTGGATAATTAGATAGTACATATTTTTTAACCTTATTTGCATGCATATTATATCTTTTGCACACTGACAAGCAGCAGTAACAACAAAAGTCAGATTACCACAGGGAATTCCCACAAAGAAGTCTTCATTCCTTATAATTTGCAGCCTAAATTAAAATAATTTGATCTTTGACAAGGATGAAATGTCAAGCAGAAGGGGGCCCTCTACAAGCCACGGCCTGTGGCTTCTGAAATCTGCCTAATTTATGTCAGTCACTTCTTAATACATATTTAAGTATTACACGAAAAAGATGATAAATATGCAATCTGACACCTTTGGTATTTCCCTGCTGTTAATTTATAAAGGTCTGGCTTCCCCCAAACTGACTAAAATCATTTAAATAACAGAAGAATCATGAAATAAGCTGGAGTCGGGGCCTGGCTTCCATTTTCACTCAATATTGAACACAGCAGGTAGTACACTAAGACAATTATTTGACTAGGCCTTAGAACCCCACTGTGACAAGTTACTTTCAGAATTAGTGAAGGAAGATTCCTTTGTTCATCCGCAGAAAAGGAGAGCGTGTTGCAAAGAGGCTTCTTTAAAAAAAAAAAAAAAATAGAACCAGCGGAGTCACATGTGACAATTGAAAAACATCAGTGTATGCTATTATTCATGTTTTCACTCTTCAGAATCTTGTCATGTATCGTTTTAAGGAAACAGAGTAACTCTCTGAGAAGTGGAAAAAAAAAATTGTTTTCTTCAAGAGTCGCAAAGAAAGGACTGATGAAGAACACTGATGTTCCTTTGAGAGCAGAACAATGTACTTAAATAAATTGCTATTTATTAATGATTTGTTTCCACTAGTTCTTGACCCCAGGCCACCTTCCTCTGTTTGCTTTAAGGTTACATTCATTAGTCTGGAAAATTTCAGTGCTGTTTCTGATGGAGACCAGTAATTGTAGCACACCAGTTGAGTGCATGAAAATAAAAACTGAGGTGAAGGCTATGAAATATAAACAAGTTATAGTACTGTGTCAGATAATATTTTCATTCCCTTTAAGATTTATGACTTTTAAAAAGGTAGCTACAGAGGAAAAGAATATAAAAGCTTAAAAGCTAACAGCCTCAGTCAATAAATCCTGAATATTTTTATTAGGTAGAAAAAGGGTCATTAACATACAGTACTACGGGAGCTATTTATAGAGTGTAAGGCTGGGATACCGTTGTCCACCTCTTTCAGTTTTAAAATGGAAGATCTTATTCCACAGGCTAATTTATCTAACAGAAAAGAAGACAGTTTCCATTTTTCTGCCAACGTGTTTTAACCTTCACGTATAAATGAGCCCTGGGTCACATTGTACAGAGGTGTTAAAAACAAGCTTTATATGTAACTTTAGTGTTTCAGATCCACTTAACATGTCAGTTGATAGGACTATTCAAAACATGTGAAGAACTCTGGAGAGCTCGAAGTGTGGATGGTAAATATGATGAGATACAGTTAATGATAAACTGTAATTTTTTTCCACAGTGAGTCTGATTCTATGTATATATCACATAAAATGATTCATATTTTTACTCAGTGAAACCTAAAACATTACTTTACAGATAATTTTAGTATTAGGACACATGGGGCAGAGACTACTCTTGCAAATTCTGGCTACTGCCTTTAAGAACTCTCTTTTCCAGGTTACTGAGTAGTAAGAACCTTTTCTTTTGAATCCTGTTAATTTATTTTGTGTTTTGATGCTACACATGTCATTTGTTCATTCTCGAGATCATTTAGGTTTCTAGGGGTATGTAATCGTCACAATAAATCAGTATTTTGGGACGGCAGTTCTTGCCTTTAAAAGTTACCATGTGTCCCAGTCTGTCAACCAAAAGACTGAAGTACCAATAGAACGGGTTTTCTTATTCTCCCAATAACTTTGCCTGGTATGCTGAACAAACTAAACATTCGTGAACCCTGTATCTTCAATCGCAAATGCTGACCTGGCTTTCTTAGGCACATGTTTCACCCATCCAAATACTTTAATATAAAGCTTTTAAAATATCTTCTTGTAATTTTAAAGTATTTTATTTTTAATTTATCTTTTATAATAAAGTTAGAAGATAAATGCATATCTTTAAACAAAAAAGCTGCTTCGTCTATCATTAACTCTTTACATATGTGTGCACGTATATATATTTTTCAGTCAATTTGCTCATTAGATTTAAACATTCTGGCAGTAACATAATTCTGATTTCTCTTAAATTATTGAAGAAAATGTTCATGTCTGCAGTGGAGACATAGTAGTATCATAGGCTTTGATGAAGACTAAATCAAATAAACTATGTGCATTGTTTAGCATCACCTATGATGCAGTTAATAATAACTATTATTCCATGATATTCATATCAACCCAAATATTTGCCCTCTTTGGAAGGAGCTCACTATGTGAAAGAGGAATATTATATAAAAATACACACAAAAGATAGTTTGATTTTGAAAAAGCTGCCAATAATACATGTATCTATTGCTGGAGGTTCTGCTGTTACTGAAGTAGTTTATTCTGTTATATATTTTTCTAAACGTAATAGGAATAATTTTAGGGCAAATAGGAGGCAACAGCAAACAGAATCAAATTTTCAAATTGCTGTTTTTGTTATATTTAATTATGAAATAACCTTGAGGGTAGAAAGTCACATTCTGCTAATATGATAGACAGGATTCATTAAAAAGTGAGCAGAGAAGCAGATTTTGCCTTGCTATCCATACACACACGTACACACACATACACAACAAGATATGCAAAAATACAACAGGGCATGTACACAGTGCTGGCTGTGATTTACAAATGCTATTGTAATGGCACCCCAAATAAGCCAGGGATGCAAAGCTAGAAGGCCAGGCTGAGAGAGTTAAGTAGAAACAGGACCCCAAGAAACACAGCTTACTTCTAGTGGTCCAGATTTCTTGGAGAACATTCTAAATCATTTTTCTGTAAGATCTCAAACTCTGTGGATCAAAACCACTCAATTTTATCATTAGTTAGCACATTAAAACTCACCATTCTCCAATGTATTTTCATTCAAAATCTTTTGCTGTAAATACAACACTTTTCTTAAAGATTTTTATTTTTTTAATTTGTGACACATAGAATCTTCTTCTATAGACCAATGGCTTTTCAATCTGTGTTCAGGGCAGCATAGAGTAAAGAGCGGTGCAGGAGGATTTAGGATCTCCACCTACATTCCACCAAAGCCATATTTCTAATTTTTCTAAAACTTTCAGCTTCTGCGACAAATTTTATTTGAGCATAAGTTTTGAGGATAGGAAATATTCAAAATCCAGCATATAAAGCAGTTTAAAAAAAATGATTCTAAGGGTAAAGGGAGAATGTGTATGTTTTACTGAATATATATACATCAATATGTATATGTATATAACGATACATATGACATATATAACTATATATGATATCTAACTATGTATATACTGTGTACTACATATATAGCTATTATATAGGTATACATATATATAGTTATAAAAGTTATATAGATTATTTTTTATATACAGTTATATGTGTACATATATCATACATATACACAGATATATAATCCTAAATAGCAGTAACATGATGCTGAACCCAAATCCTTCACCTCTATGATTACGTACATTTCAAAGATTATGATCTGACTCTGTTATAAAGTGCTTTTTTCCCATTCTATGACCATCAATTCTAATACCTAATTCTATTTACCAATCATCATGAGATAAAAGTGCTGAAAGGTTACACTTAGAGTAGTATCATTTTTTGGTATTAGTAACAATAGCAAATTAGAAATTAGGATAATGAAGAATCTACCCAGGCCATTATAATCTTATGTGTTCCATCACTACTTCTGTTGACCAAACTTATAACCTGAATACAAGCAACTCATGAATTAGGTATCAGTAGAAAATTGATGCATTTATTTTTAAAATGAAAAGTGTTGAAACCAATGTTTCTTAATTCATATCAACTGGTCATTAAGGGTTCATGTTTCATAATTCTGCTCCTCTGGTTTTGTCTTCACCAACTGTCAAAATATAACTTTCCTTTTTTCCTTAACCCCTAAAAAATCTCTCAATATAATGAAGTCATATTCTGTTATAATATTTCTCCAAAATGTTGAGTCCTCCAGTGTCTTTTTTTTTTTTTTATAGACCTATTTGCTCCAAGTCTTTTTAAAATGTGTCTTTTCTTGCTATCTTTGTTCTCTTTCTTGGCATTTCCACTTTCTATAAATGTAATGGGGAGATGGCAACCTTGGAAACTGAGAAATCCTAGTTAATGAATGGGAATGGAATGGAAAAATATACTTTTTAACCTTTATTCATAAAAGTAAGCACAATTTTAGCAAACGGTGTTTTAAAGGTTATAAGATATTGAGACCGGAAAATAATATTTTGTATGTATTCTGCAACTTTTTTCTTTTCAACTACGTTTATCTTACATCTTTCTATCCACACTATGCCCAGTAACAAATGCATCGATTTCCAAAGTTGTGTTCCATTTCTCATTCTTTTATACTATAATAAAACAACTAATATCTACGCTTAACTTCAGTATGTCAGATAGTGCTGCATTCCAAATGAGTGAAAGAAATGACAATTTCGAATACTGAGTAAATCTCTGTGGATTGCCAACTTATATTTCATGCCATGGGCTACAATGCAAACATACTAACAACCAAGCTCAAGCCGTTTTATCATATTATGAAAAATAATTCACTTTTTTTTTTCTTACTTCTATTTCTACAGATTCATGTAGCTTCTTGCAGGTGGCTGAGAAAGTTTCAGATGTGCCAAACTCAAAATACCAAAATTTGTTCTTCATTCTGAAAAAGAGAAGGAAGAAGCACCTTAGGCAATTATCAGTAACAGAGGGATCTTTTAAAAATGGTCTAACTCTGTCCTGTGTTATAAGTAATAGAAAAGCTCTGAGGACATGTAACATCTAAAATGTAATAGATAATCACATAATTTTCCAAGCTTCACTGTTGGTGCCAAACTGCGGGATGTCCTTGAGGGGACTGTAAGAACGTGTTGATCCAGCAGACTCAAGTATACCTTTAACTTTTTGTTGATTGATTACTTTTTAAAAATGGTTTTAATGCTCATGATTCTTAGCTTGTTCTTAGGCAACAAGTGAAGAATGTACAATAGTGGGAAATTATGATACAGCATAACCTTTTTAGTTCTTTCAAGAACTAATAATATAGATAAAATGACTGAGAAAGTAATAATATTGGCTGGGTGCAGTGGCTCTTGCCTGTAATCCCAGCACTTTGGGAGGCCGAGGCGGGCAAACCATGAGGTCAAGAGATCAAGACCATTCTGGTCAACATAGTGAAACCCGTCTCTACTAAAATACAAAAATTAGCTGGGCGTGGTGGCCCATGCCTGTAATCCCAGCTACTCAGGAGGCTGAGGCAGGAGAATTGCTTGAACCTGGGAGGTGGAGGTTGCAATGAGTCGCGACCTTGCCACTGCACTCCAGCCTGGTGCCTGGCCACAGAGTGAGACTCAGTCTAAAAAAAAAAGTAGTAATATTATATCAGTATAATAAAAGTTGCAAAGAAAAGATATTAAAATAATTTTAGTACTTAATCTTAAAGTAAAAGACCAAAATTTATTTTCTTCTATGATTTCATGATATTTTTGGCTTTTTGTAACTGGTAATTAAATTTATAATCACGTAATGTAATTTTACAAAGGTTGGATAGATTTTTTTATATTATGTAGTATTAGATTTGAAATTTTATTCTTGTGAAAAAGATACAGTTTTTGATTATATGTAATTTTAATAGTGATCATGCCCTCAATTAGAAGATAATACATGTAAATGACAGATATTTTCACACATAGAAGTGAAACAAAGAAGTTTTTGTTGTGGTATTCAAATACAACTCTCATATCAGATTAAAGTATTCTGTTTGACTCATAAATATTGATATCTGCTTCTTACATTAGAATGTAAAACATTTTGACAATTAAAAAGACATTTGGCAAGGCCCTTACTACATAATGCGAGCTATTATTGGTTTGGAAAATGACATTAAACCTCATGGAGTGCTTATTATTATGCTGTGTTAAATACAGTTCTCCGATATGATATTACAAAGTACAGAGTAATCTTGTATTATCTAACTAAACATAGTCAATTATGTTTAGGCTCTCACAAGGTTTTATTTGCTTACAAAATTCATAATCCCTTCATGAATCAGCCATATTCAGGCCAGTAATCTGAAGGTCAGTGTAAGTTTCATATGCTTCTGGCACCACGAATTTTTATTCTTTTCCAGAGAATATTTTACTTAGTTTATGGCCTGATTTCATATATGTGAGTGGATATAAATAGACGATAGCTAGTGAGACAGACTGGAGGTGAACATTTAATGACAAAATCTGCAGGCCTGTATCTACATATGAATCTACATTAAATTAATGTAAGTATCTATTTTATAGAATGGATATGCTTTTATAAATTTACACACTGAAGTATTAAATTAAAATATTTTTCTATTGAGATTTATCATTCTAATGAAAAGCATATCATTTTATAGATGGAGAGGAAAATATTGTTTTATACAAAGTAGTGTGAAGACATTCTTAATGAATATTTTATGACTGTTGGAATAGTCTCTCTCTATATTCAGCAAAGTTCTTATAACATTTTTGTGTTATTCTTTTCTCCAGACCTTCCAGGATTCATTCATTCACTCAACAAAAGTTTAATAAGAACATTCATTGTGTTAAGTCCTAAAGATACAAATATAACTGCAATTACTACCTTTGTCTCTAAGGAGCTCAGAATGTTATAAGCGTATGGGCATATCAGTTTGTTAAAGGTGGCAGGAAGGTAATGGAGGGAGTATGCCTGGACATGTGAGGCCCACTGGGAGTCTCCTCCCTACACTGTCTCAAAACCACAATTAGATACCACCTTGTAATCAATAACAGAGGGATCTTTTAAAAAATGGTCTAACTCTGTCTTGTGTTATAAGTAATAGGAAAAGTCTAAGGACATGTGACATCTAAAATGTAATAGATGGTCCTTGTTAGGATGGCTATTTTCCAAAACACCTCAGACAACAAGTATTGGCAAGGGTGTGGAGAAAAGGCAACAGTTGTATACTGTTAGTGAGAATGTAAATTTGTACAGTCATTATGGAAAACAGTACGGCATTTCCTTAAAATACAGAACAACCATATGATCCAGCAGTCTCTCTTCTGTACATAAATCCCAAAGAAATGAAATCAGTACCTCAAAGAGGTGTCTGCACTCCTATGTTCCTTGCAGCATTATTCACAATCACCAAGATGAATGAACACCCTAAGAGTCTGTCAACAACGTACACATACACACACACATACATACACACACACACCCCAGAATATGTTATTCAGCCTTAAAGAAGATGGAGATCCTGCCATTTTTTACAACATAGATGAACTTGTTGGACCTTATGCTAAGTGCTAAGTGAAGGAAGCCAGACAGAAAGACAAATCTTGCATGATCTCACTTACATGCAGAGACAAAAAAAAGTCAAACACATAGAAGCAAAGAGTAGAACTGTGGTTATCAGGGGTCCAGGATTGGGGGAAATAAGGAAATGTTGGTCGAAGGATGCAAACTTACAGTTATAAGATGAATAAGTTTTAGAGATCTAATATACAGTATGGTGGCTATAATTAATACTAATGCACGGTAGCAAGGAAAAATGTTTTATGTATTTAAAATTAACTAGGAAAGTAGATTTTAAGTATTCTCACCACAAAAAGTTACTACATGAAGTGATATATGTGCATTTAGCTTCACTGTGGTAATCATTTCACAATATAAGAAAACATAATGTTGTACCTCTTGAATATATATAATACTTATATAATGTACAATTTTTACTGGTATATTATACCTTAATAAAGTTCTAGAATAATAAACAGACATTATGTTGAGATAATTGTAGATTCACGTGCAGTTGTAAAAAGTAACATGGGAGTCCAATGTGCCAATACAGTTTCCCCCAACGAAAATAGCTTGCAAACTGTGGTAAAACAAGACAACCACAGCACTGACATTGATACAGTCAAGATGGAGAACATTCCCTTCACCACAAGGTTCTCTGGTATTGCCCTTTTATAACCACATCCAGTCCTACCTGCCCCCACTCCCTCCTTTATTCCTACAACCACTAATTGTTCTCCAGGTCTATAATTTTATTATTTCAAGAATGGATATAAATAGACTCATATGAAAAGCAAACTTTCAGCATTTGAATTTCTCATGTAGATTCATTCAGGTTGTTTTATTTATCAATTGTTTCTTCCTTTTATCACTGAGTAGTAGTAGTACATGGTATGAAGGCATCATAGCAAAGGACGAGTATTTAGAATATATAAAGAACTCTGATGATTTGACGGCAAAAACAAACCAAACAATTTAATTAGAAAATAAGAAAAAGACATACACAGATATTTCATCAAAACAGATACACAGATAGAAAAAAAACCCGTGACAAGATGCTCAAAAACATTAGCTTTTAGAGAAATGAAAGTTAAAACCACATCACCCTAGACTTATCAGAATGACTATAATAAAAAAAAGAAAGAAAGAAAAAAAACAGTCTTGAATATATACAATTTTCACGTGATTTGTATCTCAGTAAAGCTGAACATAAAAGGATTGGTCTATTCTTTTTATTTATTTCTTTATTTTTTTGAGACAGAGTCCCGCTAGGCTGGAGTGCAGTGGCATGATCTCAGCTCACTGCAACCTCTGCCTCCTGGGTTTAAGCAATTCTCTTGTCTGAGCCTCCCGAGTAGCTGGGACCAAAGGAACACGCCACCACACCCAGCTAATTTTTGTATGATTAGTAGAGATGGGGTTTCACTATATTGGCCAGGATGGTCTTCAGCTCTTGACCTCATGATCCGCCTGCCTTGGCCTCCCAAAGTTCTGGGATTACAGGCATTAGCCACCACAGCTGGTCCAACATTGGTCTATTTTAAAAAAATAATAAAAATAATAAACTTAATTTCTAAATAAAATATGAACCAAGTATTATAGGGACACACTTCAATGATTGAACTAATTTTATTTCAAGAATTCAGCAAACTTTAGAAAAGAAGATAGCATGTGAACAAATAAGTTAATAGAAGGTAAGCAGAGAAGGAAGTAGAGAACTTCTATGCACCTTTGGGAGTGCTGTATGATTGCTGAGTACAGACTAAGGAGTGTGCTAGGGTCTGTTTCAGAACATGTGGGCCAAGTTCATGGTTTTCGATTTTATCTTATAGATTAATAAGAAGCTGACAGAAGTTTATTAGCAGAGGGGTGACATGGAGTGTCGAAATGCTGGTGTCACCAAGAGAACTGTAGTTATTGGAATCATTCATATAAAATATAATTGAAGGCCTAAACAAATGGCAACAGAAATGGAAAAGAGGAGCTTAATTAAAGAGCTATAAATGAGGTAGAATCAACAGGAACTGGTGATATTTGATTATATTGAAATATGCCATACTTATATTATCTCCGAATGCATCTATGAGAATACCAGAGTCTTAAATCCAGCATAAAAAGAGACATGGATTTATATTTTGGTAGGTACTGTGATCTAATGTACATTGTATTGCAGTTTAAAAATTTAAAAAAATATATATATGCAAGGATTTGGTTTGCATAGGAATGATTACTCCCTATATTTCCATTATGTCCGTCAAAGTTCTTCACAGATTAATTAGGACTATGTGTGGTTCTATCAGTTATTCAAGATATACTCACTTTGGCAAATACATCACAAGAAACAGAAATTCTGAGAATTTACATTCAGCC